TTATTGCTTATTTTGGAAAGATCATCAAAATTTTAAAATTGAAACAATTGGATGTGTACTTGTGACCGGCACTGTACAACTTTTTGCTGGATTTTTAAAAAAAATCATTAAATTGTGAATAATTTCTTGAACATTTTCATAATCCTCATATTCTTCTAAATCAAGCTCAAATAAATCATAAAAATATTGATAAACTTCTTGATTAGTTGACATATTTATTTGCTTAGTTATTATTATAAAATTTTTATTAATAATTTTTGAATATATTAAAAAAAAATTTGGGTCAAAATGAGTATAAAAAAGGTAATAGATTAAAAAATCAGGGGTTGTTTATAAATAAAAAACGGGGTAAAAAACAAAATCAGTCAATTTCTCAAAAACCCTATTTTTTCCCGAAATACCTTTTTGTTGGTCCACAACCCATATGTGAAATTCAAATTAGCCAATCAGAATTTCATATCTATCCCAAAATATTAATTATAAATTTCGATTTGAAAAATTTTCTCATTAAAATAAATAGTTACTCTTGGGCAACACATAAAATACAAATAGAGTTGCAACATTACAAAAAAAAAAATGTAACTAGTTTTAATGGTAATTCTCAACTATTTTTTATGAATAAATAATGAATTTTATTATTTTAAATTCAAAAAAGAACTTATTACGAATTATTCATTGTTACTAATTCAGCCTTGCATGCTGCAGAATAACAGTTATCCAACTTTGTATAGCATTCATTACCTGTATGAAAAAAATCTTGCAAAATGGCAATTATTTTTAGAAAATTTGTTCCGCCTCCATCTTTTTTCAAATTGTCCATAGGAATTATTTATTAACAAAGTTATTTCTTTGAAACAAGTTTTTTCTATCGGGCTAATAAGGAAAAATAAATACAATAGCTGATATATCCAATGGCTGACAGAATGTCAATATGTTAGATCTTTTAACGTGGGTAAAAAATTTTCTCCTGTGGAAATTCAAAAAAATTATCAAAAGCAAAAGCAACTAAACCTCATCTACAAACTTCTATTCATGTAACCTTTTACAATATACAATATACAGTCAAACATCGTCACAGCAGACCCTCGGCCACAGCGGATTTCTTGTTACAACGGATTTAAATATTGGCCAATCTAAAGGAAGGCTGTAAAGAAAAGTACAGGTACAGAGATCGACAAATTTCACCTGTACTCTGTACCTTTCAAGATTCACCCACTAAATCTTGAAAAGTACAGGTGAGCAATACAGGCAATATGCAAAAAATGTGAAAAAGTACAGGGAAAATCTTGGTACAGGGTCCAGGGAATTTTGTTGATCCCTGTACCTATCCATTTTTGTTTTTTTCAAAAAAATCTTGAAAAGTACAGGTTGGAAAATAAAATTTTTCCTAGTTTTGTTTTCATTTTCAAAAATTTAGATTTTTTTTTTTTTAATTTAGAACAGTAAATGGTAAAAATTGCATTTATTTTAATTGTTTATTTAGATCTATGTTATGCGAAGAAACTGGTGAGAGAAGCTGTTCAAGTATTCTATCCTGGTCAGGTCTAACTAATTCTATCCCATATGTTTACAGACATTTTTCATTTGCTTTTCCTGGAGTGCTACATAAAGTTGATTGTGAACCATGGTTCACGATAGTCACGTTTGTTACATTTTGGAAGTTGAACACAGCAGGGTATGAATACATATTTTTACTGCCCGATAAACACCCAATCAATGTGGTCGGAAATTAAAAATTGGCCACATACAAATTCCTAGTATATAGGTAAAGTGGGGATATTTACAGTCTATTTAGATGTAAATACCTCCACTAGAGAATTAAATCTATTCAATTGTTTGATTTAGAAACTAGCGAGAAGGAAAAATATATTCAATTTTTTTTTTGCAATTAAAAGATTAATTGATTGTAGAGCTTGGACCCAGATACTTATCCGTTTAAATTGTAGCAATCTGGATATCCTATTCATTTAAATTATAGAAATCCGGATATTGTATATTAAAAGTGTTTATCAAACGCCGTCCAATCATATGATGGCATGTGACATAGTCCTTTTTTTCATTTGTTTTTTTCGTTTTTCCGTTTTTTTGTTTCACACAGTGTCTATCTGGATATCCTATCCGTTCATCAAAATATCCTAATACTAAGGATTTTACTATCTGAGACCAAGCTCTAATTGATTGTTTGATTGCGTTTTTTATTTAGATCTATATTAGGTGAAGAACTTGATAACGGAATTAAAATCTATTCAATTGTTTTTTATTATAATTTAGATACATGTTGGGAGAAGAAATTAGTGAAAGGAAAATATATTCAATTGTTTTTTATCATTATTTAGATACATGTTGAGATATAATAATGTAAAAATATTTAATAATTTAATATTTTTAAAATTTTTTAAAGGCATCAAAATACTTATATGGCATTTTCATTTTTACATAATCTAGAGTTCAAATAAGTGCTAACCCAAGTTATTTCATCCCAATTGGTTGGATACATGTTGAAATAAAGAAAAATTAAATTGATTATCCATATCAATGGATCAAAAAAATTAAAATTACTTATATAAAAGATAGCTTTAATGATTCTGTCCATAAATCAGATTTATGGAAGTTGTATCTAGCAACCACCAAACTTTCATTTGAAAAAATTTAATTTGTATATTTGCGATGTTTTTTTGTTATAAATATTTAAAGTTTTTTATGGGTTAAAATTGTATTTGGTTATCGATATTGTAGTAATCAATCTAGATAGATATCTGAAATCATATGGATCAACCATATAAATTATTAAAAATTAAATTATTCGATTTATTTATTTTGACGATAGTGTATATTCTACTGATTAAATTCAAATAATAATAATAGGTAAATATCAAAGTCCATATATTACATTTTAAATTATCATCGAAACAAATTAAATTTGATTAAACTAATTTAAGAAGCAAATTAAACGAAAATAAATTTTGATTATATAAATAGCATTTATACATATTTTTTTTTTAAAAAAAAAGTATAAAAATCATACATATTTCTTTTTTAAAAAAAAAAAAAAATATAAAAATCATACATTTTGCTAAATAGAAAAATAAAATAAAATCAAATATAAAATGAATTATATAATCAATTATTTGATATAACATAGAAATTGTTATTAATTGTATTTCTCTTTAAAGATATATATAAAATTTGATGAAAATAAAATTCAATTTTGCACTAATATGTAAGATTAATTATTCATTGTATTTAATCTTGGTTTTAATTTTAAAGGTTGGTTACGTGCAGAGAGGTAATATTCAGTTACTTTTTCCAATAATATTTTATACTTTTCACATAATTCGATCAAATGATCCTTCAAAGAATAAAAAAGACAATTTTAAAATCAGTCATTTATAGAATATAAATCAATTGATTACGAATATAAAGAAGATAATTTAACTTACTCTTAAATTTAACATACAGTCTCCGGCAAAAGTAATGGCGGTGATAATTTTTTTAAAAACTAAAAATTTTTAATAAGCAACTATCAATAAAATTTTATTTTTAAAACGCCTCTAAGTAAAACATTATGCTTTTAAAAGCTTATAGTATAAACCGTTTTCCTCCTTTCTCAATCCCGGTTTGAATCTAATTTGAGCATTAAAAGATACAATCTATACCATGTCAGGTATATCTTATATTAGATGGAGACCAAACTATCCAAATGAGATTGCATCATGTTCGTCATTGACTGATGTAAGAGTATTTGTTTGGAATGTTAAAAGACCTTACATCGCAAGTTGTTTCTTTGAGACACATGAAGAAGTTCCAACGGGTATTAATTTATAATCTTGTAAATTATTTATCATATATTTTCGTAATCATAGATAATATTGCATTTAATAGGAATTTTATGGCATGATCCTGATGTGCTGTGGTCTTGCTCAAAGGATAAATATTTTATACAGCAATATATCAAAGGATCACGTCGACCTTTAGATTTATTAAGTAAATGCGGAATTGGCTGGAGTGTCTATGATCAACTAGCATTTACTGTAGATAAATCCAACAATAATAATGATATAATTGATGATCAGTAAGAATTTATTCTATTGATTTTTTCACCTTTGAATATTTTTTTTTTTTTAAAAAAACAATATAATAATCATATTCATATTGGAGCAGAAATATTAGGCAGCCTTTGAATAATCAAATTAAAAAAATGCAAAGACGTATATCTCCTGGAGCAATAGATTCATCAAATGAGGTATTTATAATTAATTGGCCAGATCTATTTTACATATAATTTTTAATAATGTTGTGATAAATAATATTAGGGTTATTACAAATTACAACAAAAAACTGGAATGGCACATTTTAAAGCGTTTGATTATAGAGCATTTTCATATCTTGCAGGGAATTATATGATTTCTAGTCAAAACATTTGGGAAGCTTGTGAACATAATGCAAAAGTAAACAATTTTATTCTTTATTATGTTTTTTCTAAAAAAACTCATTTAATACTAATCACCTTATTTATCTATCTAGATTGCACACGATGCACAAAAATTTAGGACAGCACAAACTTGGAAAATAGTTCAACTATTATTACACAAAAGAACAGATAGCATTGATAACAATAGCAATAGTAATTATGATTATACAACACGCTTGCTTAGATCTAGTTTAAATATTAATACTAATAAATGAATGTTTTAGATCAAAATGGAGTTGAAGAACAACAACAGCACTCCAATGAATCTAATTTGGCGAATGAAAACAGTAGTAATACTAATACACCAATAGAAAAAACATCAGAAAGAGAAACAGGAGCATTAGACGTAAATAAAATTTGTTTTTATTGATTTATTATTTTATAATCATTTTCTATTAACATTACTATAATATTTAGGATGATTATTCATCTGACTCATCAGATGAAAGTGAAGATGAAGACAAATTTATAAAAGGGTCACTCGCCGATTACAAAACACTACAGAATCCAAAGAAATTTACTAAATTATCAGAAAAAGATTTTATTTGTGGACCAACTATAAAGATAAATTTAACGCCGTTATTTGATCAAGAACAAATAATTTCACAATTATTAGATTATTATTCAGAACAGGCAAGCATTTTTAATTATTCCAAAGATAAAATTTATATATTATTTATTTTATTTGTTATACAGGGAGATGTGCAAATGTGTGTTACCTTAGTTCTTGTAATTGGAGATAGGATTAAGTTTAATAATGAAAGAGTAGAACAATGGTTTTTTTCATACATTGGTTTGTTTATTATCATTTAATCTTCAATTAGCGCATCATCGTAATCGGAACGCTTATAAAATTATTTTTAATTTCTAGAATTATTACACAGATTTCAACTTTGGATAGCAGCTACAGATATAATTTCTTCTTGTTCGATCGCAGCAGTTTCAATGCTAAATCAAGTAAATATTGGATTATCATTGTTGATGCTTTCTTTTCTAAATTATTAAATTATTGTTATTTTTTTATTAATATTAGCAATCTACAACCATTTATACTACATGTAATAATTGTTATAAACCTATTCTAAATAATTCTTTGAAAAGTAATGGATTTTGGTCATGTGATAAATGTCATAAATTATTAAATTCATGTTCAATATGGTGAGTTTCTTGTACTATAGATATTTTAATATTTATTAAATTTAATATTCTATGCAAATTTTTCATTAAAAAGGATACTTTTTTTTAGTCATAATATAGTCAAAGGTCTTTATACTTGGTGTCAGGGTTGTAGTCACGGGGGACATTTAATTCATATGCAACAATGGTTTGATCGAAATAACGAATGCCCAACTGGATGTGGACACAAGTGTTCTATAGGAAAGTTTTCATAATTTTTATTTATTATTTTTTTTAATTATATATTTATTGTAAATTTTATTTGAACTTTTTGAAAAGCGAGTATGAAATATTTTACATTTCCATATTTATATAAAATATATATATTTTAAAAAGTTCAAGATATACTTGCAAAAGACATAGATAATGAGATAGGGAAGATTATAACATATATTGATAACAAATGAAATTAATGATAAATATTTTTTAGTTGCTCTTTTTTTTCCGTTTTTTACGACCATTATTTGATTATTTTCTTATTCGTTATTTACAAACACCGTATGTTTATGTACATTTATTAATCTATATACTTGAGTCAATTTGATTTCTAGCATTTTATCTTTTAAGAGGAAGAAGTATTATTGGAGAAAGTATTGGAAGAAGTAGGTCTATTTTTAGACATTGACTATAAAGAAATAACAATAGTAATAGGTAGTAATAATAATACGCGTAATAAATTTTTTTTTTCGAGTGCTGAAATTTACCAATCAACATGAATTCCATATTTATAACAATATAAATAATGCCTAAAGGAAATCGTTCTCCAAATAACGCTGCCATTTTTTACTAGCGATAAATAAGTAGTATCTAATACTAATAACAATTTTCAATACAACAATAATTTGTCTTGTCCTTCTCAACAACTACAACATTATCACTTCTCCTTCGTCTTCTCATTACAAAGACAGGCTAGCTTTTTTTATTTATTTTAAGAATCGAAGAAAAAAAGACTCTTATTGAGGGGAATCGCAGGATGAATTAAGCAAACAAAATCTAATAACCAAAATCCTATAATTGATTTTGAATTTTACAAAGCCAAGATCAACGATTTACCTTTTGGAGATGACTTGGGGAAAACTTTTAAAAGTGTTGAGCAATCCACTTAATTGTTAAAATTCAATTATAAAATAAAGAAAATTTAATGTTAGAAGTGTTTGATATACTATCATATAACGGGAGTTAATCGTTTTGAGAAAATAACTTTTGAGTTTTTATTGGAATTGATTTTACGCGTTGAAAGTTCAATATTTCCTACTTCAAAATTTACATAATTTAATCTCGGATAATAAAAACAAGAAGGGTGATACTAGTATTATCCCATGTTTAATAGTAACGCTTTGCAAACAAAAAATATCAACAAAAAGCTGCGTCTAATTAAATAAAGGTTACTCGAACGCGGCATGTGATTATATGCGTTTTTACATATCATAAACTTCAAAGCCGAAAACCAATGCGAAAACCAATTTCACACACTATGTAAAAGTTGTTATATTTTAAGTCTTTATAATTATTAAAGTAGCAGTATTATTATTATTATTTTGCGATTTAATTTTTTTAAAACCGAAACTTTTTGCTTTAGATGAAACCCTTGATCCTTTAGATATCGAAGATCCAACAACAATGATAACAGCAGGATGCAATGAAATTATAAAAGAAGGAATATCAGTGGTTTATAATAAAAAAGTTTTATATAGGCCAATGATTAAAATTGAAGGTGAAAGTAAAGTTCATTGTTTTCTTAATCAAAACTTGCTTATATTGAATGCCTTTTCCCCAAACATCTTTGCATCAATCAAACAAGTGATTTATTCATTGACGCTCTCGTTAATTAAACCAAGGAATGAATACATCAAACATAAATCAATTTGTATGATTTTGTTTTGGTGTTTTTTGCATAAGGAATACTTGGTCAAGTGATCCTTAAAAACCATGCTAAGAAAACTTGGATAAAAAATTGTATCTTTAATAATAGTTTAAAAGGATTATTCAAAGAATTCGATATTAGTTAATTTGGACGTTCAACGTTTCTGTGATCATATATGATTATTAAAAATTCAGAAATGTTTTAAAAATATAATTTCCACAGGTAATGATTTATTATAATTTATTGTATGTTATATAGAACACTGATAATTAAAAAATCAAAATTCACTAAATGATCAAAACCATTTTTAATAGCTTGGCATCAAAAACCTGAATTACGTCTAAATATGCCAGATATTCTTAAACGATTGGAAAAGTTATACAAAAAAAATTATTTTACAAAAATAAAGCCACACTGTGAGGATATAACTGATAGCAGTAGCAGTGATGATGATGATGATTATTATTATAATTATGATAGTGATTCTGGGATTACCGATGAAGAGATTAAAAAATCGACATTGGATGATGCCATAAAACTTCACAAGGAACGTACTGATGAATCAAGAAAGAAAGCGTGGAAATACTTCGAATATCACGCAGATACTCTAAATGATTTTACAGCAAAATATTGGAAAGGGTATTATTTGTCAACAGGACTTGGTGGAGCTAAAAAAGATCCAAAAAAGGCAAAAGAATTATTTAAAGAGGCAGCAGATAATGATGTTGCTATTGGACAATTTCACTATGCAACTCTCATAGCAGCAGAGGCTGACAATGACCCATCGTTAATTGAAGGATGTATTAGTTACTTGGAAAAGGCCGCCAATAATGGAAATTTACCTGCATTGTTTAATTTAGGTAATTTTTATTATAATGGTAAATGGAATATACCACAAGATAGAGAAAAAGGTAAAAATTATTATAAAAGGGCAGCTATAAAAGGTCACGATCAATCAATTAAAAAACTTGAAGAATTAAAAATAAAATTAATTGATTAAATATTTCATTATTTATTCATTTATTACTATATATATATCTTATATTATTTATATTATTTGTATGATTATTAAATGATTATTAAAATTAAAGGTTACAATTGAGTAATTCTAAAGGTTATGGATTTACTTACATTTAGATGTGACATGTGCAGTTATTGATTGACATTTTCAATAATAATATGAATTGGGAAATGGAAATTCAGCCCATACGGGTTGTAAAAAAAGTTGGCTTCAAATGTTTCCAGAACAGATGAATATTATTCACATTTCTATATATATAATTTTTTTTGTAATAAATATTTTAATCGATATTATTATTAATTTCTATAGGTTCAATACATTTATCATGTTACATTAACAGATCTTCATCACGATTCTAATGGTTTTGATAACAGTTGTACATACTTCTTTTGTGAGTTTGAAGGAGGTGAATCGATATTCCCAAAAATAAATCTAGCAGTAGAATTGAAAGAGGAAATATTATATATTTTCAAAGTAAAAAGTTGATATATGGTAAACTTTATTGCAATTGCATAAAATATTCTTTAATTTTTATAAGAGTTTGCCTTCCTAATAAGTGAGAAAATGATTTTAAAATTTTAAATAATTAGCCTCCAAAGAATTTAATTGAAAATTTTGCTATTTTAAATGTTAACCAAAAATTATTCGTTACTTGACAATTTAGGCTAAAATTTTTATTTCATCAAACGATTATAATACAAATGCAAATTAAAATCAAATCACTTGCATTCCAAATATACACATAATAAACTATACCTGCCAAAAATTGTTAAACAAGATCCCTTATAAACTGGGGGTAAATAAAACTGAGAAGTAAAAAATATTTGAAGCAAAATGACGTCTCCTTGATAAATTTGTGGTCACACACACATATATATATAGCCTTTCCCAATCTCCCGCAATTACTAAAAGTGTAACTTGCAACATCGTCTAAAGTACTCTAATCCTGCATACAACTCTAAACATTCTATGTAGCCACGTACCTTGTTTACTCGATGCAGTAACGTTTCCACGATGTAAATCCTTCACTTGTCTTTTCGATGTCTTAACCCCGACCCTTCCTGCATACTCACATTCTGCTAACAATGTCACATAATTAAAAAAAATTAAATCAGAAGTTTTTTATGTAAAACTTACAACTCTCCATAAAATCACGTAAAAAATTTCTAGATAAAGTTTCGAGTGTTGTAATGCAATGATCAACCATGTTAACACGATGAGGGCTTAGTACTGAATGGCTCCAAAACTGATAACTTCAAAAGTTTTCAACATTTTTTCTTGGAGAATATATATGTTCACGTCTATTCTCTCCCATTACGAATCCATTTAAAACGAACTTGGTTATAAATAAAGTTTTTTTTATTTACCTCGTAATTAAAATAAACATCTATCTAAAAAAATAAAAAAGTTAATTTACCTAACAACTCTTGCTTAAATATTGAGCGGAAACAACGACATTCCATAAATTCATTCCATTATGTTCAGGATATCCGCAGGCTTTTGTCCAGCATGACGCCTTAAAGCTTGTGTTGTTAATAACTAGTATTTACGTCGTGGCGCATCTGTTTTAAAAAAAATTGACGCAGGACTCCTCATATGCGCTGATTTTGTTTGAACCCCAAAATCCAGTACGGTATGATAATAACGTTATGAATACTTTATACTAGCA